TACATTCGACCCTATACAGAGTACGCCATCCAAACTCGGAGTCCATGGCTTCAACGTGATCGCAAGATGCTTGAGCGTCCACAAGGGATGGCCACCAAGATGGTCAAGGGATTCCATTATCTGACCTACGAGGACAGACTGCGATCATTGGGACTATATTCTACTCAGTACCACCGAACTCGAGGAGATTTGATTTTAGCGTATCAAATACTATAGAAACCAAACCATCCGTGTCGATCGCTCCTCATGTTATCGAACAATGTACACCTAAGGGGACATCGTTTCAAACTACTGATTCCAAAGTGTCGACTGGATTGCCGGCACCAGTCTTTTGCTGTCAGGGTATGCAAATCTTGGAATGTCCTTCCATCTCATATCGTTTGTGCACCCACTATTGAATCTTTCAAGCAGAGACTCGACAAAACCTTGGCACACCTCACATTCGTACACTAAAGGCAAACGGAAATTCACTGTAGCCTACATTCTCTATCTCCTACCCGGATCTCTATGCGACTCCTTTTTCGATGTGTAACGATTCATCTGTGTAAATATCCTATGGGACAAGAGAAGCACCAGCTTGTAAGCTATTCCCATAATAAAATTTTGACTTTGACTTTGACATGTTTTATGGCCAACACCTTACATAGGTTGCAGTTCCTCTTGAATGATTACCACTATATCATTATTCATTTCGAGATACATTGCAGTATCATTTGCTGCTGCTGTGTGTACAACGGAATCGGAGCTTACTACATCACCAAATGTCATCTAGCAATGTATACTTTCTTCATATCAAGTGAATCCATCACGGCTGAACCGATGAAGTAATTTAGTTTGTGTACGAAAATGCCATAGGGTAACGCCGAAACGTTTGGTACTTCAAAAGAGTAATCACTGTCTGATGAGTATAAGTGGCTTCTACGACAGTGATGCATGAGCACTAAATCACACAATGCTGATGCGTAGCGAACCACTCGAAACTACTTGGAACAATCCAAATCGTTGACAAGTTAAATCAACTATCAGTCATGACCGAGTTCAACCCCCGATGAACACCACAGTGCTTCTAGGGACTTTCCGAGTTCAGTGAGTGACACATTCACTCGGTTTGACCAAGACAGTTTCGTGATGATTTTAAGGAAAATTTAGACTAATCAACTAGAAGCATTACCGTGTTTCGGACGAAAAAGACCGGATAAACCAATGGGTCTGACCAGATGACGGGACGGGACAGGACACTTCCACCAACGTGTAAAGCAAATCTCACAGTAGTTTAATCAATGGTAGCAAACGACTATTCGAATTAGAATGAAAATGATCCAGTCCGGGATGATCTGACTTATTCAGGCTGACAAATACAACCCACAAATTAAGGCACGAAATAGCATCGATTTATCTATATATCCATATTACAGTTTCATCCTTAAAGGTGGGGGAGCCTATATGCACTTAAAGAAAATACTTCTCTATCTATGTACTCCTTCCGACTGAACAACAAGCGCTCAGATCAATGGATTCTCAGGTGGTATGGAATGCGCAAGTGCAAACAACAAATAAACTCCCATGTTTCAAACCCTTGTGGATTCACTATAATCGTATTGTCTGTCTAT